GCCTCGTGTGTGCCTGATTTTTAGAGAAAGCCGTTGGAAGACATAAGTGAGAGAGAAAAAACCTCCTCAACTTGCCGATTCAGCCCCCCCCCCCCCTTCAGCTCCTCTGCAGCTCTGCTGTCTCGAGCTGAGAAGTTGGGGTCGACCTGTTGTTGGAGGGGGTAGATGTGTTGACAGAGGCAGGGGGCCGTGGGTCTTCGCTCAGTCAAAGGCCCCCTTCAGCAGCCATGAAGCATTTATGAACAGGCATCTCCCTCCTCTGCTCTCTATTCAACTCACAACGGCTGTTTCTCTCCCCTCTTCTTCTTCTCTTTTTTTTTTTCTTTTGACTTGCAAACGCTCTGCCCTCCTTTCCCATGTCCCATCTGGCTGTCTTGCTCTTTCTGTTACGTGCACACGTACACTCCAGCGTCTAATAGATTCCTTCCTGCCGCTCCAGATTTGTGTGTGCACGTCTCTGGTGTGTGGTTTTAAGTGTCCCTTTTCGACAACACAAGCAAAGTGTGTCTCCTTGCTCAGAGCCCTCTCGGCCTTCAGGTAAATGTTTGTTCTGCAGAAAAAAAGACACGTGCACACAAATTGATGGAAAGAGCTTATTCGTGCTGGGCCCCAGCACCTGCTTGTGGTTGTAGTACAGGTATGCTTATGTGTAAATAAAAAGCAAACGTGCAGACCTACACCTAAAATATGCACACTCAGTGGCTTTCTGCAGGATTTTGTGTGTGTGTGTGTGTGTGTGTGTGTGTGTGTGTGTGTGTGTGTGTGTGTGAGGTCCACTCCTCTGCTCTTTGATCCTCATCTTGACAGCCCACCACCTGGGACGCTCCGCCACATGCCGCATGCCTCCAAGGCCCTGGCTACGCCGTGGGAATGACAACACACCGTGGCTAACACAGCGCTAACAGCCAACCCTCCCCTGCACATTATATGCCGTCAGAATCACTAATGCTAACACCAAAAGCTAACCCTCCCATATACAGATATGTAGAAAATGCCACTGGAATCAGAATTCACATCCAGCCGCTAACCCTCCAACATTGTTATTGGAATTGCTAATCGCACACAGGGGGGCAAAGCTTGAACACAGGTGCAATTGGAATTATAATGTACAAAACTGAGGCAATACTAAAAAGCTCGCCCTTGAATACACATAATCTCTACTTTTTACCCTGCATGCAGGAAATATACAGTTTAAAATTATGTGCCTCTTGCAAAAACAATGAAGCTAGTGAGAACACTTGTACATCAGATAATTTACAGTGTTTTTCCGGGTCAGTCTATGAGACTGATTGGATTCACCTCGGTGGTGAGGAGAGGTAGGTCAAGATGAGTCGCTGGTGTCATCCATGGACAAGCAGGCATGGTGGGGAGAGGCTGGCAGGGGGGACAGGGAAGGGGTCAAACTGGCACCACAGATTGGTGGAAAACAGTACACATAAGTAGCTTTGAGACCCTTACAGTATACCTCTAAAGTGCATCTGCACAGGCCTTTTCAATTGAGTGTTTAGATTATTCATTGAAAGTTTTAACTCTTTTGGCCCATCTTTCTCCCCTAAACCCTAACCGGTGGTGGCAGATGACTGCCCCTCACTGAGTGTGGTTCTGCCGGAGGTTTCTTCCTGTTAAAAGGGAGTTTTTCCTTCCCACTGTCATCAAGTGCTCGTTCATTGGGGTTTTCTCCCTATTATTGGAGGGTCTTTACCTTTGAATATAAAGCACCTTTAGCAAGCTGTGATTTGGTGCTATGTAAATAAAAATGAATTGAACAGATCACCGTCATGTTCCCAAGGTTTGCTTCACCTTTTAGAGCCGGGGTTGGGGAACTCCAGGCCTCAAGGGCTGGTGTCCTGCAGGTTTTAAATGTGTCCCTGATCCAACACAGCTGATTTAAATGCTAAATTACCTCCTAAACATGTCTTGAAGTTCTCCAGAGGCCTGGTAATGAACTAATCATTTAATTCAGGTGTGCTGACCCAGGGTGATATCTAAAAACTGCAGGACACTGACCCTTGAGGCCTGAAATTCCCCCACCCCTGTTTTAGAAGGTATGGTGGTGCATGGCTCATATATTATGTGGGTGTTGGAGTTGTATGCAGTCGTTTCATTGCTCAGTAAAAACTTGTACATCTATTAAAAGATTTCCATTTCAAGGATTTTTATTTTATTTGGTTTCCCACTGTTGGTGAGTTTCATTATTTGATCGTCTCTTCTTATTAGGACTCTAATTTCAATAGTTCTTTGGACCATTCTTCACCATGGCTAATTTTAATTCATAGGCACACTCCACTGCTAATATTTGTTTAGTTTTACTCTTTTTCTTCTCTCTCTAATGGTGCTTTTTCATGTTGGCTTAACTACAACTACAACTTCAACCTAATTTAGGATTTTCAGTGCTTCTCCATCATCCATATCCTCACTGGGTCTAATTTTTATCGTGGAAACGCGGCACAAAGATGAAGCCGAACTGATGGAGATCAGCGATATGTGGAAGCCAGCACTTTTACCACAGAGTTTGGTGTGTATTTGCCATCTTTTTGGTGACCCACACGGAATACATTGAATACATTTTTACCCAGTGATATTCTGTCAGTCATGATTATTACCCCCGCTTATCTCCCTGCTTTTAACCAGTAGAAGCTGGTGTGAAACTCTTGGTGGCAAATTGATACTGATAGCTGAAGCGGGGGGGCTTAGGGTTTAGTGAAGTGACACCTCTTTCACACTGGGGGTCATAGAGGGAAAACGCTAAGCTGAGAGTTATCCCTGCTAATACACAGGCACTGCACCATCTGAATCACAACACCAATCACGTTGCTGACGCTAGGCTAAGGGCCAACTATTCAACAGCCCTGGCACCCAGAGGACACCGCAGGAATTCAGATCCATTACACTCCCAGCCTCATCAAAGGGACTTTGGGATTTGGATGCTAAACCTGCTCCAGATGCTCACTGTTGGATTTCACTAAGATGCACTGCAGGGCAAGTGTCATCAGGGCTGATGTCTGCAGCACAGGCAACAAAACCTCAACCAATCCACCGTATTCACACTGAATTGATTTGTGCCATAAAGACAATGGGGGAGACACCAAAGCAGATGTAAACAATGTACCGCTCTGCTCATCTCTGGACAAATAAATACACAACAAAATGACCAGATGAGCAGAGCTGGAGGCAGCAGGTCCAAGCATATGAACATATGAACCTGGACTAACATGCTGAAGCCATAGCAGTGCCTCACCTGTGGCTGCCTCATGCTAATGTGCAGTTTACTGATCCTCTTCACCAAGTAAGCAGCTGTAGGTGAGCAGAGGTTTAATGCAAGTCAATCCACAGTTTGGGATTTTATCCTGCGGTAGCTCCCTTTAATGTATCCATCCATTTGCTTCCGCTTATCCTTTTCAGGGTCGCGGGGGGTGCTGGAGCCTATCCCAGCTGTCATAGGGCGAGAGGCCGGGTACACCCTGGACTGGTCGCCAGGCTAACACACAGAGACAGACAACCATTCGCACTCACATTCACTCCTGCATTCACACCTATGGGCAATTTAAATTGATCAATTAACCTATCCCCACAAACTTGGTCAGCCATTCTACCGTCGTCTCCACTATCTTTCCCCAGGTTCAGTTTATGGACATGGGTATAGGTTTTATTTGAGAATCGGGAAGAAATCTCAAATATAAGTCCAATTTTGAGCACCAAACTCTTTGTTTTCTGCATTCTGGAGAATGTTTTTATGCAGTTTCTACCTTTTTACATTAATTTACGGTAAAAAAAAAAAAAAAAAAAGGATGAACAAGTAGTAAAATTTGTTGCATGTGGCATCTTTAAACTGTATCTACAAACACATGATTTATGCTCTCCCCAGAATGGTGCTAGTTTCTACTTCAAACACTGGATTTATTCGAGCCCGCCGTGGGTTGCCTTGATAAATGTTCTCCCCGTTACATCTCGTTTGGAAATTTCCCCATAGCTGTTCGACAGTCGTGTCATGAGGACGTAAACGCAGACACAAAATCCTCACCGTGAGCGATTTGTCCAAACCTTGTGTTTGACATAAACAGCTGCTTGCTGTAAGGAAAATAGAAGAGTCACACCTCGGTCTCTGCCCTACATTTTCCTCCCGCTGGCTTATTTTTGCCTGACTGTGCAGGTTTGTGTGCTGACTGAAAATGGCCCATGACTGCGGTGTTTCAGCCCTACTCTCGTTTCCCTCCCTGCTTTCTTCACTGCAATTGTGTATACATTTACATTTGAGTCCAGTTGTGGTACTGTGTGAGAGCGTGAGCATGCAAGCACCTTGTAAAGTTTAATTTGTAGGACCTAAAGACCTAAACGTAGCTTAAATTTTGATTTAAAGTGATTTTTAGTATCCTGATCAGTGAATTGCATTGACACTTCAAACTGAATCATGCCAAGGTTTCAGTCGCTGATTTCTTTATTTTACTTTTTGTCAGATTTACTGTTTTTTCCACTGATTTTAGATGGCTTCGTTACTTTTTGATGAATCGTTTAAATATGATCATTTAAAAACTGCTGTAACATGTGTGTCACCTGAATGTTTTCATTTCCAGCCTACATTTGTCAGAAATGTCGAGATGCAAATAAAGGGAGCATAAATAAATGAGTCAGCGCTTTCTTTGGTGAATGAACGATAAAGCAGCTGTTCACAGATCACTCGGGGATTAATGAAGAGACAACCTTGCTTCTCCACGTTCCTGTCTTCGTTTCCTTGTTGTTCGCATGTGAGTGTGTGTGTGTGTGTGTGTGTGTGTGTGAGTGTGTGCTCATGCATCACTTTGTGTGCACGGTTCCTCCAGGCTCAAGTCATCAGCGTTGAAACAAACTAAAAAAAAAGCGTTCTCTTCCTCTCCGTTAGGATGTTTTCTCCTTAACATTCACTCAGCGTCTCCCAGTGTCGACAGGTGATGCCAGGCAGATGAAGAGAGAAAATGCTCTTTGTTGCTCCTTATGCTCATCTCTCTCTCTCTCTTTCTCCCCAGGCTGCTGTTTTGTCACGTTTTACACAAGGAAAGCTGCCCTTGAAGCTCAGAATGCACTGCATAACATAAAGACCTTAACAGGGGTGAGTGTGTGTCCTCATTCTCCTCTGCCTACTTTCTCCTCTAATCACACACTTACAGCAGTACCTCGAGGCAGCCCCGCCCGACCCCGCCCTACACCGACCTGTGTTGTGTGTGTGTGGGTGGGTATGAATACGCAAGTAACTGCCTCAGTGTGTTGCGCTGCTGCTACAGAGCATTTGTGAGTGACCGAGAGTGCGAGCAGGTGACTGTCAAGGTTAGTTCAAAAGTTTGGAGGGAGTCTATGTCCACTGGTTCTTTCCAAGCTTAAGTGTGAATGTCATAAAAGTCAAAAACCATTATTGCCACCATAACAGCCACCGGGTCACCAGGGGACTGTCTGGAGTTAGAAAAGTTTCTAGGAAAATAGAAAATGATCCATTTCAGACATTCGTTCAGTTTTTGTTGTTAAAAAGATTTTGGATGGTCCAAAAAAGGAAAAATTTCTAATGAAAGTAGGTGGACTTCAGCCTAAAACCCAAGCTCTACCTTTATCCTAGAAGGTTAGTCAGTGCAGCCTACCTAATAGAAGAACCACAGACCATCTTTTGATATGTACACAGATAGAGGCAAATAAGATCCCAGTGTTGCACCATCACTCAGCCGCAGACCGCAGAGCTGCATGTAAAAACCTCAGTATTTATCCTGTCGGCTCTGGGTGCAGACAGTAGTCCCGTGAGTTCACAGCAATCGAATGGACATAAGGTTTCCCGCCTCCTGCGCACTATCCTGAAATCACCTTTAAATAAACCAGATTGACTATTTCCAATATGGAGAACCTGTCAGAAGCAGACTGTGTGCCACATAGGAAACAGTGCAGCTGAGGACAGTGTCCCAACCTGAGTCTCCTGATGCTGTCTAGAATTAATTTGTGAAAAATGCTCGAGTCGTAGTACTACGTGCTTCATGTGTCACTCCCACACAGTCTCGTGTTGATCTTTGGTGGCTTCTTCCACCTGTTACTGGTGCTGCTACCACCTACGATTAGACAGTGTGCTTCTACATGAAAAGTCCACAATAAGAGACCGGAGAGGTAGTGGAAGCACATATATATACTATCATTCCCTCAGCACTTCCCATGTACATATAGAAAATCTAGAAAATGTCTTTGTCCTGTATTTCACTGTATATAGTAACCATTTGTACATCATACAAATGACTCTTTTATTTTACTTGAATCATCATTTTTAGCAGTTTTGGCTTTTTTTTTTCTTATTTTTTGGTTTTATTTTCAAACATAACTCAAATGGACTTTTTCTACCTGAGCCTTGTGCTGCTGTAACAAGTGAATTTCCCCAGTGTGGGATTAATAATAATAATCCATACCCATCTATGTAATTCTCGACCATGACAAGAAAGTTAAAGACTCTTCTTTTAGACAGTTTTTAAGAGTTGCCTTTTACTTTTGTTTGTAATTTCTCTTTACACACTTTGCACATTGTGAAAAAGCAACACAAAATTCAGAGGCTTCTAGTTTCGAACTTGTTGTGTAACGCGTATGTAGACAACAAAGACCACATCTGACCATCTATGAGCTCACTCATTGCCAAATGCAGTGATCTGATTGGTCACATGTGTTTATTTCGATCCGTTCAAAAAGAAATAATAATAATAAATTCATCCTGTGATATTACATGGTTGATGTGAACGGCTGCGTTAAGAATTGGTGACTTTTAAAAATATTTTTACTGCACAAAATATTGATATAAATTTTTCACATGCTAACTTAACACATTTAACACTGTGCACTTCTGCACACAAGATGCATCCCATGTAATGTGGGTTTGCTCTCTGTTTGTCACTGATTAGAATGGCTGTAACAGACTAATGAACCTGCTAGTGAGTTGGTGAGAGTGGGGCACCAACTGCTGATAACATATCAATGCGCTGACAACATCGAAATTGAGTGCCAGCAGGTGAGGAGACGTTTCCACTGAAATACAGACATTACAACTAGTTATTGCCAGTGATTTATAATTTATCGGCTTTTAGTGTAATGATATCATCTGCTGTTGTTTCGCAAAAATGTGTTGTCCAAATTTATTCCAAGCAAATGTTCACCAAAAGCTGACAATCACCCACTCGTCCCCACTTTATATTTTCATTACTGGCTTCGGCAGACTGCAGGAGTTTGTGTTGTGTTTCCCTTTGCTTCTAGCCTGCACGCTCATCCTTGTGCAAAGATGATTAGAGAACAATCATCAAAACACGCTGCCACTAGCAGTCGAAAACACTTGCATGTTTATCTGCTTGCTGGCATCTGTTCCTGCTTTTCTGGACACCCGTGCATATGCCTGACTATAAAGGAGTGTGCTGGTGCTCCATTTTCCAATATTGTTCCCTCTTGTGGCCCAGGAGAGCAATAGAGGAAGTGGGCTGAAGCTTGCTCGCACTCTCACACTTTTAGCCCTGGGTGGATATTTAGAGGCCCCCAGATCCCTTCTGCTCAGGTTATTGGCTGCTTCCCCACCCCTCTCCTCGTCTGTGCCAGCTAACTGGAATCTCATCAGTTGAGCGCCTGCACGCTCTTACTTCTGTCGGTTGGATCTGTGGATAGCCCCCCTGGGCAGGACAGGGTGGATACTACGAATCCCACAAGAGCCGTACGTGGGATTTATGCTCCCGCTCGCGATTCAGAGTCAATCTTGTTGTTTTGCACAGAGTCACCGTGTTAATTGCTCGTGGAATAAGTATGTTAAATTTCGGCTGTTTCTCTGCACCGTGAGAGCTTGTCACTTATCCCTGGTTGGAGGTGTGAAACAGCCCAGGGGAGGACACATACTGCAGCAGTTTCAGGATTATAGGAACATGAAATTGCCTTCTTCTACACCATAACACCGTCCCTCCCTCTGTTCTGTCTGGTCATCCCTCTTCCTCACTTTCTTCTCTCTCCTGCAGCATTCGTTTGGGCCTTTTTGATGTCAGGTAGCAGTAAATTTGGGTCTGTATTTGGTCTCTGAAGCAGAGGAAACAACACATTATCAGAGCGTCTTTAAAACGTCAGTACAAAACATTACACCTAAACTTGAAAATGCATTTATTAACATTTAAATATGTCTATCTGGAAATTATGATGCCTCTGGTAGGTAATATCTGTCATATGAAAGCCGAGCAAGAATATAGTAAAACATTTCTTTATATTTAATTCTCTAAGCCTAAATGAATCGCATTTAGTTTAAATTAGGGTTAGGGTTGATATTTCCAATCAGGAGTGTATTTGCTCGTCTCTATCAGCCCTCTATCACTTACAGATAACATTTCTTTAGAGATGTTGTTCATGGCAAGGTTTTCTAACTGCTGCAGCCCAGAGGGAGCGATCAGCAGGAGGAGATTTTTAGGTTGTTGGTTTTTTTGTGATAGTTAATTTCTCTTTGATTTGATTTAATGAGCGGTAGTTTTCTGAAACAGCTGAGTTCTTTGGCTCAATGAAAAGTTGGAACAGAGCAGAGTCATGAAATAGATAATAAATAAAGGAATAAAAATTAGTTTTAAGATGTGTTTTCAAAAACTGTAATACCATGGACAGGGAGGTGGGAAAAAGCTCAGTTGCCCCTGGTTTTCAGTCCGGTTGTTTGGACTACCAGGAGCAGCTGGTCTATGGACCTCAGCAACCTTGAGGGAACATGGGGGGAGGCCAGGATGCGTAATGTTCTCGCAATGGCGAGTACCAGTTAAAAGACAAATCCCAGCATTTTGGACTAACTGCAGGCAAAAAAGGGAAACTTTACTAAGGCCAACACAGTGTGCATTACAATAGTCCAGACACATTGTGATAAAAGCATGAATGAGACATTCAAACCTTTTAAAAGATAAAGCTGATTTGATGGTGGATAAAAGCCTCAAGTGGTAAAAACTAGTGTTAATAACAGAATTCAGCTGCTTATTTAGTATAAAAATCATGCTCCAGTGAACCCAATGACCCCAGTGTTACTTACTCTAGACTCACTTTAAAAATCAGATGTGGTGGTTAAAAATGTAACCTATATTTTAAGCAGTAATACGTAACAAATAAGCCATATTTTATTGGTTACATATTAAGGAGGGAAATCCCACTCTGCATATAGGTTTGGGTTTCTTATTTACCACTTCATTCTTTTTGCATCCAGAGGATTCACCTACTGCTGGCCTTTAGAAAGAATAAAGGTTTAATGCACTTATGCCCTGGCTTAGCTTTTCAAACCTGCAGGCTACATTCATCTTTTATATACAGTCTGTCTATAGTCCATCTGTGTTCTCTAGCAGTCGTTCAAGATAAAAACAAGCAGGCTCTGAACATTCCTCAGTACTTCTGCTGGCTGGCAACTACGTGACTGAAAGTATGAAATAAAATTTAAAATTAAATATTTTTTACATCAACCTTGTAGAGGATTAAAGTAGTTTTTCTAACCCCAAATTGTGTCTTTTAAGCTCTTCATGGACCCAGCTTTAGGTTAGGGCAGCCTATTTGTAGCCTCACAGGCAAGCCCCAGGACAAAACAACTCCACTGAGCCACCCACTACTGCTTTTAGGGGTTGTAGCTTTTTGCCAAGTGCTGTAACAGAGCTAAAAGTTGTTTCTTTGAAACAAGAATCTGCGGAGCCCAGCGGTGAGATTTGAAAGGTTGCTTATAAGTGCTGGAAGTAAAGGAAAGTTTATTGTCTCGTTTGTTCATGAAAAGCTTCTGGGAGCAACAAATATTAAAAATGTTAACCCATTTAAAAAAAAAAAAAAAGCAGGTGACACATATGCAATTAAACCCGCATCATATTCATCATGTCAGAGGTGGACAACAACAGCTTATGCGATTGTCCTGTATTGATGGACGGATATGATTTTAGATTTAATATACAGGGAAGAGGACCGAGCACACACTTACAAAACACTAAATCAATAGCAGCATAATGACGGAGCATTGAGTGGTTTATGCTGGATTTTTTTAAACTGGCTTCAACTCAGCTCAAAATGAAAAAAAAAAGGGCCAAAAAAATAAAATAAACTGAGAGGAAGGATCCAGTGGGAGGC